AAGGGAGGTACGATTGGGTGGGAGGGGGTGGGGTTTCACACACACACGCGCGCGCGCGCGCATAAACACACCACACATACACACGCATAAATGCACACGTAAATGCTTATGTATACTACACTCTCATAAACACACATGAACACACACAGAGGACATGTGGAAGATATGATGGTAGTGAAAAATGGTCATGTTCAAGAAGTACACATGAAAAAACGATTATAAAACGTTAGATATTTAACTATAGCCACGCGATGTTTTCCACAATATGCCGAAGGCCCAGGAAGTTGTCTCTCTAACAAGGCAATCCCCAATGTCCGGATTGGATGCGGGAGCAACTTTACTTTACGCGATCCATGATTTGACTTAGTGTCGGGAACTGTCGTTGGTGACTGTCTCTCACATGACCAAAACTGCGTCGATAGTGCCGTAAAAGCTCTACTCAATTAATCAATCAATCAATCAATCAATCAATCAATCAATCAATCAATCAATCATTTATGACGTAATATCGATCAATGGTGACGTAATATGAACAGGGGAGTGCATTCTCGACCTGTGCTATTTTCCTATCATTATTATTATTACTCTCTGTTGATTGACTGACCAACGTGAACGTATTTTGGCCCTCTCCTCCATAGCTTCCCCCTCTCTTCTCTCCCCCACCCTCCTCCCCCTCCTCCTCCTCCTCCTTCGTTGTCACAAAATCCACAAATTTCAGTCGGTCTGCCAAAATAAACCTCAGCGTCGGAGCGGTGCCTACGTAGGGCGTGACGATAACCCTAGCCCTAACCCTAATCCCTCCTCCCCAAACACCCCAAACTTGATCACCCCCTAAAACGCATTTTTGACCCGTCTGCCTCCTTGTCTACTCCCTTTTGTGCTCAGGTCGCATTGGACGAGGCTACTGACCCATGGGGTGTGAAGGTGGAGCGTGTGGAGGTGTAAGTATCTATGACTGCATCGTGATGCCCCCCTCTTTGGGGGTGGGGTGGGGGGCTTTCTTTCTGATCGAGTCTTGGGGCTGCATGCCGACGTCATTGTTCTACACAGACAGGATCATGTGACGGGAGGCTTTCCCACGTCACACGTCACACGTCACACCGCCCGCCATCTTGTGCTTTATCTATCCACGCAGTTCTTCCGTCTGCTCAGCCAATAATAATAATAATAATAACAATAATAATGATGATAGTGATAATAATAATAATAATAACAATGATAATGATAATTATGGTAATAATAATAATAGTAATAGTAGTAGTAGTTATAATAATAATAATAACAATAACAACTACAATGATAATTGTAATAATGATAGAGTAATACTGGTAATTATAACAATAATAGTAATGATAATATTAATGATACTGATCACGCGAAGGGTCAAAGCCCGCTTTCCCTAAATGATCTAAATTGCAGTGTTGGAGGGATTAAAAATTCTAATTTAAGACAGGAT